GGCAATGTCTGCGATGGGGAGCCGACCGCAGGCGCGCGCTGTTGCTGGGCTTTCTGGGGGGGGCCCAGGGCGAGCCCCTGGGGGAACCCTTGAAAGGCATCTGGAGGAGCCTCTGGAAATGCCCCCGAGGAACTGGAGAAGCCCCTGGACGAGCCTCTGGTGGAGCCGTTGGGGGAGCCTATGACAATCCGGCGAAGGAGCCTTTCAAGGAGCCTGTCAAGGCGCCGCTGGATGAGCACCATGGTGAGCCTCAGAGAAAGGCCCTGGAGGAGCCGCCGGTGGAACATTTGGATGAGCCCCCGGAGGAACCTCTGGAAAGCTTCTGGAGAGCTCGCGGAGAGCCCCTGCAAACACAAAAACATAGCATTTGAGAGGGGTCAGCTTCTGGGGGGGCCCGCGAACGAGACTCCGGACGAAACGCCGCGGGTGCTTTTGGGGGGCCTTACGGAGGGCGCGGCGGCCATTGCCTAGTAGGGGGGGGGGGGGGGCGGCCGCGAGCGCGCGCCTTTGGAACAGCGCCTGGAGGGGCCTCTGGGGGGGCCCTCTGGAGCAGACTCTGGAGAGCCTCTGGAGGAGCCTCCTGGGTGCTCTTGGAGAATTCATGGCGGAACCCTTGGGCGAGTCTCTGGAGGGGGCCCCTGAGGAGTTTTTGGAAGAGCCTCTGGAGGAACCTCTGCAGGAGCCTCTGGATGAGCACCCATGGACAGCTTCTAGAAGAGCATCTGCTGAAGCATTTGACAGATACCCTGGGGGAGTCTCTGGCGGGGCCTCTGGTGGAGCCTCTGGAGGAGTCTCCGGGCGATTTCCAAGAGAGCTTTGGAAAGCTTCAAGAGAACGCATTGCTTTCCTGCTCCGTGGGGTGCCCATAGGTCAACTCAACCGCCCTCTGCTACGCCTCATTCCGCATGCCCCCTCCCTCCCCCCATCCTCGTTCCCCCCTCCCCCTCCTCCAAACCCCCTCTCCCTTTCCCGCCCCATCCCTCCCCCCCTCCGCCCCCCCCCCCCCCCCGCCCCCCCCTTGCCCCTGATGCCCCTTCCCTCCCCCGCGGCGGCGGCGGCATTTATCCAGGGGGCGAGGGCGGCTGCGTGGAAGAAAACAAAGCACGCGCGATTCTCATTAGCATTGGCGCCGCACGCAAAGACAGCGGGACACCGTCACCGCCGAGCCGCAAAGGACAAGAACGCCGAAGGGAATCGCGCACCGAGCCCATTGCACATCGCGCAGAGCACAAGATAATTCCCACGAAACCGCAGCACGCGACCGGGCACCGTGCGCGAACAACTTCTGCGCGCCTTCACTAGATGCCAAGGGGCGCGTCCAGCGGGCGCAGCCTGGAGGCAACCCGCGGCCCCAACTCGCCCGGAAAACATAGGTACAATCTAGGCTGCGCGAACACAACAGCAAGTGAAGCACAAGCAGTGAACGACCCCAGACTACCGCCCCGCCCAAGGGTGCGGTGCGATGGCGGAAAGACCTTAAACAGTTTGTGTGGTGCCGCTTTTTTTTCTCCCTAGCATATTGCGCGCGCGAGGCGTGTCTCTTGGGCCCGCCGGCGGCCGCGGTCGAGCACGTGTGAAGCGTGTCTCCCGAGCCCGCTGGTGGCCGCATTTGAGCTCGATGAGGCGCGTCTCTCGGTCCCACTGGCAGCCGCGGTCGATCGCGTGCGAGGCGCGTCTGCTGGGCCCACTGGCGGCCACACCACAGTTAAGCACGTGTGAGGCGTGTCTCTTTGGCCCACTGGCGGCCGCGGTTGAGCGCGCGCGAGGCGCATCTCTCGGGCCCGCTGGCGGCCGCGGTTGAGCGCGTGTGACGCGTGTCTCTCGGGCCCGCTGGCGGCCGCATTTGAGCGCGTGCGAGGCGTGTATTTTGGGCCCACTTGTGGCCGCGTTTGACCGGGCGTGAGGCGCGTCTCCCGGGCCCACTGGCGGCCGCATCTGAGCGCGCGTGAGGCGCGTCTCCTGGGCCCACCGGCGGCCGCGGCCGAGCGCGCGCGAGGCGCGTCGCGCGCGTTCCCGCGCGAACACCGCAGCGCGCGGCCGCGCAGAGACGCGCGGAGAGATGTCGGACGCGACGATATTCGCCCATTGGCTTTGCGCGTGCGATTTGCGGCGTCAGCCGCTTGCCTCTTGCGCCAAGCTGGTCGCGCATCTTAAACCGCGGGATGTGCTTCGCTGGAAGCATCTGGCAGACGTCGACGCCGACTTCAGTTGGCCTCAACTGTCACCGCGCAGCAGCGAAGTTGCGACCAGGCGGCGCGCCCGCGGGCCGTTCGCCGCCGCGCGTCGCGGCCGCGCGCAGGGCCATCAACGAAGCGTAGATCCAGAGGGGCACGCCGGCCCCCGAGGGTTTCTCCTTCGGTCGGCGCAAACGGCGCAGGGAAGCGGAAGCAGCGCCGCCCGCGCGCCCCCCGGCCGCCAGGGCCCCGGCGCGCGCCGAAAGGCAGGATCGCCCAGGGCCGCGCCCTCCCCCTGGCCCTCTGCCCGCCGGCATTGGCCGCCGCGCGCCCGCGGCCTCCGCCAGGGCCGCCGCCAGGCTAGCGGCCGAGGCCCGGGGGCGCGGATGGCGCGACGGCGCCGGAGCAATTGTGCACGGCGTTGCGCCCAGGCGACGCGCGCGGCGATCTTGTGGAGGACTCGCGAGCTCGGGGGGCCTTCGAGGCCGTGGTTGAGCATGCTGCTTCATGCGCAAACCCGTTGGCCGCGCCCAGCGAGGGGCCGCGGCGCGCCCTCGACGGCGTCGCCGTCGTGAGCCCGCCCCAGAGCCGGCGCTTCGCCACGAGGGCGCGCTTGGATGCGGCGCCTGGCAGTTGTCTTCGGTCAGCGCAGTGCTGGGCCTCCGCAGTGCGATGGTGGTTACGGTTATCAAGATGCGCCCTGCGACCCCCCCCCCCATCTCCGCGGAGCCCCCCTGGGGCTTCCAGATCGCTAGCGCGCTGATCCGCGTGATGGGCACGTTCGCGAACTACTGCGGGCACTGGCGCGCGGCGTCCGAGCTGCTGTCGGCATCGAGGGCCGCCTTCTGCGAAGCGGGCGCGATTGGGCATCGCGAAGAGGTGCCCCCCGCCCCCGAGAGTCAAACGCTTTGTGCAACACGCCCTTCTTCCCAGAATCTTCGAAGCGAGCATTCTGGGCCCGGTGGCGACCTGTCGGAAGGGGCGTGGCGATGCTCTTGTCTTTCGGGCATGCGTTTCTGCTGCGCCTACCAAGCGCGGGCATGCCCGCCGTCTTCGATGGCTCGGCAATCAACGCGCAGCACCAGGCGTCGGCGCGCCTCTCAGCAGAGGCGGCGCACGGATTCGGATTGGCTCGTGACCCTCTGGCGCAAGTGCTGGCGCCGCACTGATGGCGGCAAAAGCACGTGCCCAGGGCGCGCCCTCGGCGCATTCTTCGAAAATGCGGGCGTGGGCACGCAGGCCTTCGCTTCCCTGCCATCCGCGCCGCGGCCAGGGCGGCGGGCGCGGCTCGCCCGGGGGCATTCGACGCCAAGGCACTTCGCCGCGGGCACGCGCTCGACCCAGTCGAGCGCGGGGCCGGCCTGGTCGAGGCGCTTCGCGCGAGCGGTTGGCGCAGCGCTGCCTTCATAGAGCATATGCCCGACGAGTCTCTCGAGCGGGGCGCCATTCTCGGGGCCGGGGACAATTGCTCCTCCGACAGCGATGCGCGAAGAGACTGGGTCCCATGCCTGTTTGAGCGCGCGCGCTGGCGCTCCGGCGGCGCGCGGCGCGCGGGGCCTGCGCCTGCGCGCGCGCGCGGCGCGCGCGGCTGGGCCACCCGCCGAGTGCCCAGCGCTCCGCGGCAGCGGGCGTTCGCACTGGGCGCCCGGCCTGGCCGGCGACGCAGGCGAGCGCCCGAGCCACCGTCGGCTCGGGGCGCCGCCGCGCGCGGCCAGGGTCGAGCGCCGCGCCCATCGTCGCGGCGCGACGCGCCGAGCCGTTCGGCGTCCGCGCCAACGTTTCGCGGTGGGCGATCATCGCGCAACGTTGATCGCGGCCGCGAAACAGCGGGGCGGGCGCCATCCTCCAAGCCCCCCATGCTCGGGCGGAAAGGGGGTGCGCCGCGCGACGCACAGCGGCGCGGGGCGACGCGAGCCCAAGCGATGGGCGCGAGGCGTCGCGCAGTCCGCCTTGCTTGCATGGGCGAGCGCGCGAGGGAGCGTGTGCGCCGCCCAGGGTTGGGAGGAGCGCCGCGCGCGCTCGGCTGGGGGGGGGTCCCGCCACGTTCGGCGAGGGGCACCTGCGGTGCGGCTTTTTGCCCGCCCACCGCCCCCTTGACGGCCAATCGGCTTGGGGTGTTCGCACTGGGCGCTCGGCTAGGCCGGCGACGCAGGCGAATGCCCGAGCCACCGTCGGTTCGGGGCACCGCTGCTCGCGGCCAGGGTCGAGCGCCGCACCCATCGTCGTGGTGCGACGCGCCGAGCCTTTTGGCGTTCGCGCCAAGGTTTTGTGGTCGTGGCTGTCACTGCCACTCGTCATCGTCTTCGGTGTTCCCAATTCCTCCATAGATCGTTTCCACTGCTAGCGTCCTACTCTTACTCTTCATTAATTTCGTTACATCGTTAGCATCATCATGGGCATCTCCGTCATAACTCGTTTCATCCTCATCCTCCCCGTTGCCTGCGCCATGTTTGCTTGTTTCCCCTCCATCCAAACGCTTTCACACTTGGAGCATCGACGCTTGTGCATACAACGCCGCGCCTGCTTTGTACGGCCATATCGTTTTTTTTTTTTTTTTGAGATGTTAGATGTGGGTTCGACACTGCAGATGTGTTTCGAACGTGCGGGTGCCATTGATGTTCAGACCCATCCATGTAAAAAAGGGGGTCGTACAAAATTTGCTCACACGCCAATGACCAGCAATCCTTTCTCGCCTGCCCCTTCGCCTCCTCTCGTGAGCATCCGCAAGCTACCCGCCAGTCTCCAATGCCTCCTCTCTCTCTCTCTCGCTCTCTCTCTCGTCTGGTTGGAGAGTGGCAGGCCGCCCCCTCTTGATATTCAAGGGAGGTACACTGGCGATGGGCGCCCTCTTGATCGCCATGGTGCGTGCACTGCAAGTGGTCGGGCTTCCCTTCTTTCCTGCAGGACAACAGTCGAGCGTCCCGAAAAGCTGGGCCAGCGTTTTTCAACCAACTTGCCAGAAGTATGTCGCAACTTCTTAGGCACAGTCGCCATTCCAGCGTTAATGGCTGAAACTGGCCCAGGTTTAGTCGAAGGAATTCCTCAGAAGTTGGCCCAGAATTCTTACATGATGGTTTGCTTGAACATGTTTCCGGCTGTAGGGGCCGTAGCAGTCAAGTTTTACCGCTGCAATGAGGAAATGGACATGCAGAGGTGGGAGGGCAGAACTGCCACGGAAGTTGTGCCAACCCCGCAGCCCGTGCTTCATTCCCAACCATCCTGTGGTGTTGGGTCCTTGCTTTGAGGAGGCAGCGCCCCTCGTTCCCCTCCTCCTCTCCTCCCCTCCTCCTCTCCTCCTCCCTCCTCCTCCCCCCCCCCTCCCTCCTCCGCAGTTCGCATGCGTCTCCCCCGCCCAGCAGCACAGCGCTTCGTGGTCCCAGTGAGAGCTCCAACGAAGGTCCCAGTAGCGCAGTCCGCACGCGGTTCTGCGCCCAGTACAGCGTCTCGCGGCCCCAGGGGGAGCACCACCGAAGGTCCCAGTGGCGCAGTCCGCATGCGGTTCCTGCGCCCAGTACAACGTTTCGTGGCCCCAGAAGGAATTCCACCGAAGGTCCCAGTGGCAAAGTCCGCATGCGGTTCCTGCGCCCAGTGCAGCGCTTCGTGGTCCCAGAGGGAGCTCCACGGAAGGTCCCAATGGCGCGGTCCGCATGCGGTTCTTGCGCCCAGTACGGCGCTTCGTGGCCCCAGAGGGGGCTGCACCGAAGGTCCAAATTGCCCAGTTTGCAAGGTGTTCCCGCGCCCAGTACAGCGCTTCGCGGCCCCAGAGGGAGTCCGCACGTGGTTCTGCGCCCAGTACAAGGATTCGTGGCCTCGAAGGGAGTTCCTTCGAAGGTCCCCATGGCGCAGTTCGCATGCGGTTCCTGCGCCCAGTACAGCGCCTCGTGGCCCCAAAGGGAACTCCACCGAAGGTCCCAATGGCGCAGTCCGCATGCGGTTGATGCGCCCAGTGCAGCGCTTCGTGGCCCCAAGGGAGCTCCACGGAAGGTTCCAGTGGCCCAGTCCGCATGCGGTTCTTGCGCCCAGTATAGCTTTTCGCTGCCCCAGAGAGAGAGAGAGAGAGAGAGAGAGAGAGAGCTCCACCAGAGGTCCCAGTGGCGCAGTCCGCATGCGGTTCCTGCGCCCGGTACAGCGTTTCGTGGCCCCAGGGGGGGGGGCACCACCGAAGGTCCCAGTGGCGCAGTCCGCATGCGGTTCCTGCGCTTAGTACAACGCTTCGTGGCCCCAGAGGGAGCTCCAACGAAGGTCCCAGTGGCGCAGTCCGCATGCGGTTCTGCGCCAAGTTCAGCGGTTGGTGGCCCCAAAGGGAGCTCCAAAGGAGGTCCCAGTGGCGCAGTCCGCACGCGGTTCCTGCGCCCAGTACATCGTTTCGTGGCCCCTAGGGAGCTTCACAGAAGGTCACAGTGGCGCAGTCCGCATGCGGTTCCTGAGCCCAGCGCAGCTTTTCGCGGCCCCAGAGGGAGCTCCACCAGAGGTCCCAGTGGCGCGGTTCGCATGCGGTTCTTGCGCCCAGTGCAGCGCTTCGTGGCCCCTGAGGGAGCTACCGAAGGTCCCAATGGCGCAGTCCGCATGCGGTTGATGCGCCCAGTACAGCGCTTCGTGGTCCCAGAGGGAGCTCCAACGAAGGTCCCAGTGGCGCGGTCCGCATGCGGTTCTTGCGCCCAGTGCAGCGCTTCGTGGCCCCAGAGGGAGCTACCGAAGGTCCCAATGGCGCAGTCCGCATGCGGTTGATGCGCCCAGTACAGCGCTTCGTGGTCCCAGAGGGAGCTCCAACGAAGGTCCCAGTGGCGCGGTCCGCATGCGGTTCTTGCGCCCAGTGCAGCGCTTCGTGGCCCCAGAGGGAGCTACCGAAGGTCCCAATGGCGCAGTCCGCATGCGGTTGATGCGCCCAGTACAGCGCTTCGTGGTCCCAGAGGGAGCTCCAACGAAGGTCCCAGTGGCGCGGTCCGCATGCGGTTCCTGCGCCCAGTACCGCGCTTCTGGCCTCAGAGGGAGCTCCACCGAAGGTCCCAGTGGCGCAGTCCGCATGCGGGTCCTGCGCCCAGTGCAGCGCTTCGTGGCCCCAAGGGAGCTCCACGGAAGGTTCCAGTGGCCCAGTCCGCATGCGGTTCTTGCGCCCAGTATAGCTTTTCGCTGCCCCAGAGAGAGAGAGAGAGAGAGAGAGAGAGAGAGCTCCACCAGAGGTCCCAGTGGCGCAGTCCGCATGCGGTTCCTGCGCCCGGTACATCGTTTCGTGGCCCCAGGGGGGGGGCACCACCGAAGGTCCCAGTGGCGCAGTCCGCATGCGGTTGATGCGCCCAGTACAGCGCTTCGTGGTCCCAGAGGGAGCTCCAACGAAGGTCCCAGTGGCGCGGTCCGCATGCGGTTCCTGCGCCCAGTACCGCGCTTCTGGCCTCAGAGGGAGCTCCACCGAAGGTCCCAGTGGTGCAGTCCGCATGCGGTTCCTGTCCCCAGTACACCGTTTCGTGGCCCCAGAGGGAGCTCCACGAAGACGACACCCACAATTGCGGTACTCACAACTGCATATGGTTGGGTTCTTCGCCAGGCTAATGTTTTTTCGCGTCCGTTCCTGATTTTCTTTACCCTCTGAAGCTCCGCAGAGGGTTGGGAATATGTCTCCAATGTGAACGGGTATCTATCGCCATTGATTATGTTCGGCACAATCTAGTATCTAGTGGCCTTTGGCACATACCGCCACTGTCCCTGGGTCGTGGGCCAGAGGCCTAATGGTATCGTGGGCTACCTCTTGGAGGCTTCTTGAAAGCACCTTGGGGCCTCCTTGGAACCTTGGGGGGCCTTTTGGGGACTTCTTGGGGACCTGCTGTCGGTCTTGGGGGTACTGGTCTCGACATGACAGTTCGTGTACCCTGTACCTTTGGCCTCTCTTGGGACCTCGTTGGGCCATCTTGTGGCCCTCTTTGGAGCTCCTCAGGCCTTCTTGGGGCAACCTTCGGGGTCTCTTCGACCATCTTGGTGGTTTGGAAGACCGAGAAGACGAAACGCTAAAATCATACAAATCCTGAGGTTAATGAATGATTTGTTCGTCGTGGGGCCCTGGTGGGGGTCTCCTTGCGGCCCTCCTGATGGGAGGAGGGAAGAGGAACAGCGGGGGAAGGAGGGGCGGCGACGACGACGAGGGAGAAGGAGGAGGAGGGGGAGGAGCGAGGAGAAAGATGTGGAGGAGGAGGGGGAAGGGCTGAAAGGGAAGGGGCTCCCCTTCAACTTGATTGCGACTTGAGGCGGGCCCCCTCGGGCTGGCGACCCTGCAAGGGTCCACCGGGGCAGGTGTCTTGGGGCGGTTGCCCTTCGGAGCTTGGGCTTCGCCGGGACTGCTCCGACATGCTGGACTCTGGAAGGGTCCCGCTCGGCCTCTCACACGCCGCCAGGTTCGGCGGATCTAATACGGGTGTCGAATCGGGCGCACCGAATATTGCGGTTGGACAGGGACGAGGGGGAAGTCCGGCCTCGGCATGCGGTAGGGTCTAGTATTCTACAGAAGAGAGGTTTTATGTGGCGTCATCATACGGTGCACGTTCGGAGCTTCTGGGGATGACAGCGAGGCGGCCCCAACGGGGAACTCGGCCTCGGTTTCGGTTCGTGTCGCGCGTGCGGGCAAAGTGAAGCTGCGCGAGAGCGACGATATGTCGGCCGAGGCTAGGGCCAAGTCGGCGAACATGTTTTGCACTCCGGTGCCTCGCGAAGGGGCGCAGGGTTGTCCGTGTTATCCCGTGGGTGACCCGTGGATTGCCCCGTGGTTTGTCCCGTGGGTTGTCCCGCGGGTTGTTCCGTGGATGTTCCGTTGTCACCGCCACTGGTACCGTCATCGCCACCATCGACCACCCACGGCACAGCCACCAAGAGCACCCAATCCGATGCGAAGTCAATCGCAAATTGGAAGCTGCACCCATCCCCCAAACTTCATTATCACCCAAAGGGCTTTGTATTGGGCACGGGATGCAATCTGTGTGGAGCGAGCCATGCGGCGCAAACTGGTTGGTGCAAGTTCTGTCGTGCAGTGTTCGTCGTGCAATCTACGGGTTACAAGCTACGTGCCATGTGGAGCCATCGCACGCACGAGGCGCCCAATGGGTGAGAGAGAGAGAGAGCGCCGGAAAACGTCCTGGAGGAACGGCCCTATGAGAGCCCGGCGGGGGCGCCGGAGCGCCAGAAGGCTCACTCGTTGTAGTTGCCGGAGTTGAGGAAGGGACGCGTACAGTCCAAGAAGCCTTCTTCACGAATTTTCCACCATGTAGGTCCTGGCCCAAGGGGTGGGCACCCGGCGAGGAGGTGGAGCTGCAGGCCATCGCACGAGGCGCCTGCGAGGCGCCCAGTGGGCGGGCCGTGGGCCGCACGGGGCGCCCGCGAGGCGCCCTCCTGCAGACTGGCACCGGACGAGAGCCCGGAAAGGCCAGCCAGCGCACGGAGCGCGCGCGGGGCAAACGCCAGAAGCATGCCAGCCCATGTTTTAGAAAGCCCTCCTCCCCCCTCCTCCCTCCTCCTCCCTCCTCCTCCTCCCTCCTCCTCCTCCTCCTCCTCCTCCTCCTCCTCCTCCTCCAGTGAGAACACTGAGGGCAAGCACGGTGAGGCCTGTGGCGCCGCAGAGCCCTTGCCGGCGCCGGGGTCGGAGCGCCCCTGGGAGGCCCGTCTCGGGCCGGCCCCAGGGCCCACAGAAGCCTGGCATCGCTCGGACGTGTGCATTTTTCCTTCGGCGGGGACCATCGTCGATCATTTGGCGAAAAGAAGACCATGCACAAAACTGAAACAAATACAGGGAATGGACGTCCGAGCGATGGCCAGGAAGACGATCCACGGCGCGAAGGCCATGCGAGAGATGGGGTCGACAGCCTCAAAGGGGG